AATTTAAAAACATTTTTTATTAATCATTTTGTTCAGGGGCTCTTACATATCTTATAACAATCCATCATTCAACTGTATTAAGCACCCTTGTATATATGTTGCCATCATCATTTCCAAAACATTTTCTTTCTACTTGAGCCTTTGGTATCAGCTCCTCTTTTTCCCATCCCTCCTCCTCTCCCCTCCTCATTTATATATGGTTATTGTTATTTTGTGTCTTACACTGTCTGTTGTCTCCCTTCACCCACATTTCTGTTATTTGTCCCCCCTGTGGGGGGCTATATATCCAACCAACCTTGTAATTGGTTCACCACCCCGCCCCCCACAACCCCCACCATCCGTCTCCCATCATGATATCGCTACTCTCACTACTGTTCCTGAGGGGTTTATCTGTCCAGAATTCCATGTGTTAAGAGCTCTTATCTGTACCAATGTGTGTACTGCAGTCTAGCCTGATTTGTAAGGTAGAACTGGGTCATGGTAGTGGGGCAGAGAGGAAGAATTCAGGAACTAGAGGAATGTTGTGTTTTGTCAGTGCTATACTGTACCCTGGTTGAATCATTCCTTCCTTGTAACCCTTTTGTGGGGGGATGTCCTATTGTCTACAGATAGGATTTGGGTCTCTAATCCAGCCTCCCTCTTTCACATCCATATTATTGTTTGTTTGGGTCTTCTAATGCCTGATACTGGATCCCATCAACACCTCATGATCACACAGGTTGGTCTGCTTCTTCCATGTAGGCTTTGATGCTTCTCTGATAGACCCCAGACACTATATCTTTTGATAGCCAGGCACCATTCGCTTTCATCACCACATTTGCTTATGCACCAATTTTTTTCTTCAGCAATTGTGTCATGAAGATGAGTATCAAAGAGTGCCAGGTTATTAGAACAAAGTGTTCTTGTGTTTAGGGAGATTTGAGTCTGCTACCTTAATGCTTAACATATAAATATATGTACATTGGCCTCTATCCCTTTCATTATAAATGAATATATTTACATACATAGATTCCTATAGCTATACCTCTATAAATAGCTTTTGTCTCCTACTTCTTTGCTCTATTTCCTTTCACCTTCCTCCCGTCCCATTATCACGCTCACCACCCTCCAAGAATAGGACATTTTCCTGATGAATTACTACCAGGACTAACTACAGTGTTTTTATCTCAACATCATCAATTAGTTAGGAAGTTATGAAAAATAATGGGAATAGCTTTTAAAAAGTTTACCCATAGAATATTTTCAAAACGAGCCTCAGCATCCTTGCAAGGTCTCACATTGTTTTTAAAATAATCTCATGAATTTTTACTTCAACCAAAAATAGAAACAACAAGATCATATGAAAATTACAGTGTGAGGTCAGGCAGTTTACCAGAGGATGTTGGAAAATGGCATGTGGGAAAATGTGACTATATTATACATACCAACTGTTTCAATTTTTGTTTGTTTCTTTTTCTCCAAGTTTCCTTAGAATAAATTGCAAAGGGACTTTGTGTCAATATGGCCGACCAAGTGGGAAATTCCTTCTCATACTCTAAACACATGGAATTACTGCGTAAAACTTAACTGTATAGTCAAGTTGAACACAAGACAAAAAAATCCCCAAGTCACAGAAACAGCAGTCAAAAATCGCACAGGATAGCAAAGTTTATTCTTCAGTTTGGGGACTGGGGTTTTAAAGTCCTAAGAAGGAGGAACTCGGGATTGGGGTGTTAGAGTGCTGAAACTGAGCTTCCTGCATGTGGTCAGAGGCCTTCGATATTGAAATCAGAACTGTGAAAACTCAACTCCTAACCCTGGAAGGTCTCTGGGTGATAGAAAAGGCTCAGGTTCTCAGCTGTTAACTGAATGGCTGATTGTTTGAGGCTCACCAGAGGTGCCTAGAGGGGAAACCTGCCTATTAACATCCCCAAAATTAGTCATTGAAAAATCCTATGAAGTGCAGTCCTACATTAACACACATGGGGTTGTCATATGTCAGGGTCAACTGGATGTTAATGGGGTTTTTTTGTTTGTTTTTAATATGGAGAATGAGACAAGGGAGCTAATGATTCATGGGATTCATTGAAGGAAAGTGAGCCACAAGGAATCAGAAATATAAATCAGCACCAGACGCCGTTTCTAAGTTCACACTGTCCCAGTGAGTCGGGTACTCGGTGCAGGTAAACTGAAGACGGGCATTCCCAAATTGATAAAACCTACCACGTCCCAGCAGAGGCATAGCCTCATAAACTCTTTGAATTCTTCCACGGCCCAGGGCACAAATGACTCCTATAGACACATAGCTTTCACTAAACATCACTCAAAGTTCCAACTATCAAACCACTCAAGTAAAAAAAAATTGGGTTTTGTTTGGTTTGCTTTTTTAAAGCAGTGAAAACGAGGAAGGCCCTTAATGAGAGGCTACCACCATGGGTTCAGGCATAGGCACAAAGGGGAGGATGAGGCAGAACTGGGTGACTCTCTTCTGTGCCTAGGGTCACTATGGGATAGAGCCAACTCGGCACCTAACAACAGGAGGTAAAGGCTGTGTTTGACCAACTCTGTACAGTTCAGATTATCCTGGGCAACTGAGATCTAAAGAAACTGAGTTAAAGGGAAAGAGTGCTTCTAGATATATGTGTGTGTCTAGATCAAAGTGAAAAACAATCCAGAAGATTGGAACAGAAGTATATTGATAGTTCGTGCCCTGGTGCAGAATACAGCTGGCTCAGAATGGGTGTATTTTCTGTCAGGCAACAGAGTAGAATGCATATTTTTATTTTGGGCAGATTTGTCTAAATAATTATGCTTGCTGGAAAATGATATTACACTTAAACTTAATCATTGGAACAAAGAGCAACTAAAAATGTGGGTACAAGTCGGTGATTGAGGCAAAGTAGATAATTCTCTCCACAGGATGCTTGTGTTTTACCATACATGACCTCAGGCAGCTTGCTTAACCTCTCAGAATTTTGATCTTTTCATAATCAAATAGGAATGTTAATTCCAGTTTCACCAGATTGTGGCTGAAAATTTTAAATACGATCTCAGATATTAAACACTTAGTAGATGGTGTTGCTTATTAATCAATTGTGTATGTTTCTAAAAGTAAAAAATGATTTGCAGCTGCAAATATCTAGAATATTATCTACTAAATAGCTTTTTTTCTTTGCTCATCTAGGATTGGAGTCAATTCAATTACGGCAATGGCTGGATCTCTCATTTTGAACTATTTTCTAGTGGAATGTAGCATTCATTAGAGGTTACTGGATAGAAGGCAGGAAGAGGGTTGCTAAGCCTGCAGGAAAGGAAAGAAAAGGGGTGATGGACAAAGCAGGCAAAAGCTAAGGTGATCCAAACACTGAAGAAATACAAGAGGAAAGACGTAAGGATCAAGCGATTTACAAAACACAGTTTTAAATATGTAACTGCACCTACACTTTTAAGTTGAAAACCAAGTGCACCTGGAACACCTTTGATGTGTAAGCATCTCTATACACTGATATCATCCACATCACTACCCACGGAGAAAATGGACTCTTAATACCCTCAAAAACAGCCACATCCCTGTGATCCCCTCCCCACCACCCAGTTCCATCCCCATGTTTTCATCTACATCCTCTCCTCGGTTCACCTCTTCTGAATGTCACAATTCCCCAGCAGAGCTCCTAGTTTATATTGCCTTTGAGCCTTGAAATGTATTTCAAGGTAAAATTTGTGGGGCACCCTCACAAGCATCTAGAGATTAAAATCTTAAAAAGGTATGTTAGAAGTTATATATTCAAACTTTCCAAGACTTTTATAGACTGCTAGTTGCAACATTAGGTACAGCAGCTACTTGGTGCTCCGCAGTGGTAAACTCACCACACTAATGCCAATTCCTCTGCAGCCAGAGTTTTTGCCTTATATTTTCAAAATTTCTCTTAATAAAGAGGTGGGTCTATTTCTCCACCTTCTGAATAAACAAGAGCCATGTGGTTTACTATGAGCAATAGGATGCTAGCACATATCCCCCAAGCAGAGGTTGGGAAAAGCACTTGTGCTTTTCAACTTTCACTCTTGTTCCTCTGCCCTGAGAACATGCTTGGTCTGGTCTAATAGAAGATGGGACACACGGAGAGCAAAATGACCCAATCCCAGACATCATCCTAGATCAATCAGCAGCCACCTGATGCCCAAAGATATAAGGCCAACCAAGATCAGTAGAGTCATCTAACTGAACCATACCAACCACAAATGTATGAACAAGCTCAGCTGAATCAGGCTCTGTCCTGATCAACTAAACCCTGTTGAACAGAATAAATGTTTATTATTTTAAACCAGTAAAGTTTTGTGGCTGTCATGCAATATTATCATAGCATTTCCCTACGATGTCCACATTTTCTCAGAGACGTTCCTCAAGTTCTGTGGCTTAGACATGTCATCTCTTGTTTTCCATGTTCCAAGAGCCAAATTATTTTTGCCTTATGTGAGGCGGCTTCAAAAAAAGTCATGGAAAAATTCCATTATCTTTTAATCCCATGTTTCCTTAAACTTTTTGAAGCTCTCTCCTATGTATTCTCTGGTTACCCAGCACCTCGGTGCAATTAATATTACAATGCAAGGCAATCTTTATGCTACTCTACAGTACTTAATTTCAGCAAAGGCTTAGGTTCTAGGTCTTGAAACTGTTTTGTGAGCACTGGGGCACTTTCCCCTTTGTGGAACCTACTAAAAGGTCTAGGAAGTTTTCTATTTTGAAATAAGCCTTTTCTATGAGAAGACTCAGCTCAGTTCTAGTCCAGCTGGGAATAAACTTGATTGTGAATGAGAAAAACAACTTTCATCCCATTAAAAGGATTTATCATGATCTTCAGATACCTTGTCAAACAGAAAGTTACTGCTGTATGTGACATACCAAAGAAGGCCTAGATGGCTGAAGACCTATTTAATGAAACTCAAGTGATGTGCTTTACAATCTTGAGTGAATAAGCATCCAGCCCATAATTCACCTAATTCTTTCACTCTTCTCTTTTGAGGAGGACATTGGAAACCTACCAGGTAATTGGTTTGAGGAAGAACTGAGGCCTGAACACCAGATTGTTGCCTCCTAATTCAAGGCCGTCGCCACCCTTCCAGGTCATCTTTTCATTGGGAAAACACAGGGCTTGTGAGGATCTCTGCCCCCTAATGTTCTGCATGTTAAGAGGAGAAAAACCAAATACTGTGCGCTATCCTTCCCTTGCGCGTCTAGGCTTCCAAAAGAGGGGGGAAATGGCCTTCCCTGAAAAACGATGCTGAGGAAGTGTTGATGGCACAAGGTCTTCGGACATGCTGTCCACCTAATAAGGGAGTAAACGTCCATGGAAAACGAGAACTGACGATCTCTTAGCCTGCTCACAGGTTTTCTCTCGGTGACTGTCACGCATGGAGGATGCTGAGTTTCCATCCCCGTTATAATGGTTCTGTTTAAGATATGTTTATTTGGTCAGCTGGCTGCCTTCCTGTTGGCTATTAAGTGCAGTCTAATTGAATTAGATGGTTTCTGTAGAGAGTCAGATCCTTCAAGATAGAACAAGCAAATGAAAAATAGAACAAAGAAAAATACTAGTTTAAAGAAAAAGGAAGGACAATATCTTAGCAAGTTAAAGAAAAATGTGATAGGGCTTTAAAATTTTTCTGGAAGGATGGAATTAATAGATGATGGAATTTTTCCACACCTTTAAAAAAAAGCTTTTCATTGTAAATTTGGGTGAAAATGCACAGAGCAGATTAGCTTTTCCATTCAACAATTCATGCACATTTTGTTTACTGACTGTAAACCTCACAATGTGAAATCACTTCTCCATCTTCCCTGTGTTTCCTGGTTCCATTCCACCTTCTTTCCTAACCTTTCTGAACGTTGTCCTTGCAGAAAGGGTGTCCTTTTCCTAAGGTGGGTGTACCATCCTAGTGCTATTATCCCCCTAATAGACGTGTCTGTTGCTGGGCTGGAAATTGAGCCGTGGGGAGAGTTCCTTTCCAGGTGAAAGGGTGACGAAGGCCCTCGTCTTGGAAATTCCACTTCCAAGAACCACAGTAAACCCAAGGGCTCAAGTAGAAAGCAAATGTTTTGAGAACGACGATGGCAACAAATGTACAAATGTGCCTGACACAATGGATGCATGTAAGGATTGTGATAAGCGTTGTACAAGCCCCCAATAAAATGATTTAAAAAAAAGAGCCATAGTAATTATAATTATAGTAATAATTACAATTTATCAAGCATGCAGACAATGGCAGGTTAACTGAAACATTTCAATACATGAATATTTATTTCAGACTCTCTGAGCTCAAATGTTCTGAAGCTCAGGAAACAGGATAATATGAATTAAGTCAGGTATAAGGCAACTGACGTGTGTGTGTGTGTGTGTGTGTGTGTGTGTGTGTGTGTGGTGGGATGTGGCCAACTGGAATTATATTTATTGTTTAAAATATTAAATTTTTTCATTTAGGGAGATAGGGGCTCAATTTAATGTGTAAGGCACTAGTTTGTGGCTCCTGGCTTGGCGAAGCTCTAGTATGGGAGGGAACAATGACAGCAATCTATGCTCCCTAGAGTTCAGCTAAGAAAGACAACAGCGGATGAATCTCATTTACTCAAGTACATAGGAGAATCAATAAAATCATGAAATAAAGAAATAAAGGCTGTTCAAAGGCTAATTATTTTTAGATGCAGTCTGTTTTCTTTTCCATCAAGTCTAATGCCATCAGCAAGGAAGAATGAAAGCATACACAATGAATTCAGTTCTTACAATGAAGCACATTAGAAGCGAATGATGTTTCCAGCTCTTATCTGTACTGTGTACATGTGCTGGTCTAGCCAGATTTGTAAGGTAGAAATGGGGTCATGATAGTGGGCGGGGTGGGGGAGGGGAGAACATTAAAGAACTAGAAGAAAGTTGTATGTTTCATTGGTGCTACACTGCACCCTAACTGGCTCATCCCCTCCCTGTGACCCTTCTGTAAGGGGACAGATAAATCCCTCAGGACCAATATTGAGAGTAGCCATACCAGGAGGGTAAGGGGAAGGTGGGGGAGAAAGGGGGAACCGATCACAATGGTCTACCTATAACCCCCTCTCAGGGGGATGGACAACAGAAAAGTGGTTAAAGGGAGACATTTACCCTTTGTAAGACATAAAAAAAAAAAAGATAAATTATCAAGGGTTCATGAAGGGAGGGAGGGGAAAAATGAGAAGCTGATACCAAGGGTTCAAGTAGAAAGAAAATGTTTGGAAAATGTACAAATATGCTTGACACAATGGATGGATAGATGGATTGTGATAAGAGTTGTATGAGCCTCCAATAAAATGATGCTTTAAAAAAAGAAAATAATGACGCAAAAACAAACAAGAAAACAAACAAACAAAACCCAGCAGCAGCAAATGATGCCCAGATGATGCAGACAGCCGTCTCCGGTCATGCTCCGGTCCTAGGGACACAGCTTCCTCCAGGAAGTCTTGGTTGACATGGGTGTGAAATGCCAGACATTTTCTCCAAAGGCTTGTTCTCATGGAAGCACTGCCTTAGCCTGGGTCTCTGCTCAGATCGGAGCCACTTTGTTCATTTGCACTTTTATCCAAACTCCTCTTTCAGATGAACCAAGTATTGCTCATTACCCAACTTGCGCCCTATCACTAATAGTCTTCTCATCACTCAAAGTTTGTACACCACACTTAATTAATAAAACAAGAGACAGGCTGTATTAAATGTCCTAGAATGAACTCAGCTCTGTCCCCTGGGATTGGCCTTCTCCTGATCACCTAAAATTAGTTTGGGTCTTTCTTTTTATAAATGTATATTTCGAGTGGTTAGCTGCCATCGGGTTTTATCAGCATAATTGATTTTGATGCTTAGGGAGTACGTATGTCCTAATTATATAGTCACTCTTTCTAACCATGGTGTTTACGCCTACTGCTGAAAATGTTGTGTGTGGTTTTAGCTTGGTCATTTACAACGTGATTTGAAAGGAAGCTAGACATCTGTTCTTCAGACCCATTGAAGTTTTGAAGAGCCTGTCATGCCTGAATTCTCCACCCAAGGTGAAGATGAAAATTAGGGTCGCATCTCTAAGGGAGATCAAAGTGACACAGGACCAGGCTGAGACAGAAATAAATGACATGGGGCTCTGTGGGAACTGTGGGAGTGCAGAGGGTGTATCTTGGTTACAAAAGTTCCCGTGCAATCGTTGCCATGTGGGAATGTATACCCAAAGCTGCTAAAGCATCTGATTTTGTCAAAAGAAGCAAGAGATCTGAATTTTCACATTAAATCTTCTGGCTTTCCAGCGTTGGCTCTAAATTTAAAAATATTGTGCTGGTCAGTTAGCTACTTCTGGGGATATATGGGTAATGTATTCCCATTGGGATTCTCTTTGGACTTGATAAATCACTGCCCCAGAGTTGGCTGAAGCTCCACCCTCAGGGGCTGACCAACAGCCCCACTTTCCCTCTTGACTGGAGATATCCATTGCATTGTTCAGGTGTCCTGCGTCCTTACCAAATAACCACCCACTGGACTTTCCTGACATTTTGTATACGTTTGGGTCCGATTCAAGACAGTCTTTGGAAGGCCCTTATTTGGGATTGGGGATGTTTCCTTATTTTCCTATTACCTTATTTATCAAATAAATGCAGTGATCTAAGTGTGATAAACTCACTGAATCTGGAACAGAAACTCTAATAAAACTAATCACAAAGTCCTTTTCTTTTTTAAAATAATTTTATCGGTGGCTCGTACAGCCCTTATCACAATCCATCCATCCATCCATTGTGTCAAGCACATTTGTACATAGGTTGCCATCATCATTTTCAAAACATGTTCTTTCTACTTGAGCCCTTGGTATCAGCTCCTCTTTCCCGCCCCCTATCCTCCCTCATGAACCCTTGATAATTTACAAATTATTTTTTTCATGCCTTATACTGACCGCTGTCTCCTTTTACCCACTTTTCTGTTGTCTGTCCCCTAGGGAAGGGGTTATAGGTAGACCATTGTGATCGGTTCCTCCTTTCTCCCCCCACCTTCCTACTACCCTCCTGGTATCGCTACTCTCATTATTGGTCCTTAGGGGTGTTTTTTGTCCTTAGGCGTTTATCTGTCCTGGATTCCCTGTGTTTCCAGCTCTTATCTGTGTACATGCTCTGGTCTATTCAGATTTGCAAGGTAGAATTGAGGTCATGATAGTGGGGGGGAGGGGGGCGGAGCATTAAAGAATTAGAGGAAAGTTGTATGTTTCATCAGTGCTATACTGCACCCTGACTGGCTCGTCTCTTCCTTGTGACCCTTCTGTAAAGGGATGTCCAATTGTTTACAGATGGCCATGCCCCTCCCTCATTCACATTTGGTATGGTTTTGTTCTGGGTCTGTGATGCCTGATACCTGATCCCACTGACATCTCATGATCACACAGGTTGGGGCGCTTCTTCCCTGTTGCTTCTCAGCTAGATGGCTGCCTTTTTAAAAAAAAATCTTCAAGCCTTAGACACTATATCCACAAAGTGTCTTTGTATAGAAATGTCATTGGTACGACTTCTAGACCAGGTGATACTGAGGATCCAGGTCTTCAAGAGATCTGCAGAGGTGACTACGGGTAATGGGGTCCTCGTTACCACAGTCATTGCCACAAAATAATTCCTGGAGCTGTTGCTACCATTCACACGTGGGGTTTGGAATGATCTAGGGACACCAGTCTTTTTTTTCCTACTCAGAAAGTTCTGCTGAAACCTGTCCACTAAGGATGACCCTGGTGGTGTTTGGAAAACTGGTAACATAGCTTCCAGTGTCATAGCAACCTTCTTCAAACCACCACAGTACCACAAACTAGCAGACAAGTGGTAGAGAAAATGACCGGGTACCTATAACATTTGTATTTACCTTTCCACGTGTCTGCCGTGTCTGGGTGGCAGCTTCTCACCTGGGGACAGCATTTCCAAGCTTTCTTGATGATACTTTCATTCAAGAGGGGCCAGCTGATGAGTTTTTACCAATGTAATATATATACAGAAAGAAAGGAAGCTACTTCTAGGGCAGGGCTAATAAATAGAGGCCTCTCTAAAATGCCTTTCCATTTTCCGGAAGGTCCTAGGGGCTGTAGAAGCATGTTAAGGGAAGGGCTGCATGGCAGGAGGCCCCAGAAAAAGGAGGGGAAATAGCAGGAGCTTGGGGCTGATCTGGTTGGATGCTATCCTGATTGGTAAACTGTCTCTATCTCCTGAACGGCTCTGTTACTTCCAAGTTCATCCTGAAGATGAACTATGACCCTTTCCTTCCCTAAGGAGCTCCACAGTCATGAATATGGCCTATGAGTTGTGTGTGGCCATTGCAATGAATTATTGAAACTAGCAGAGAAGTCAAGAGTGCTGGGAGAGGGATGGATGGTGTCAGATTTGGTCAAATAAATAAGAGTTACAGATTAGAGGTATGCTTGACCTTCATCCCATATGAATCAGCTTTGGCCTGTCCATTACTCTCCTTGTCTGTGGATCTCTGACATAATGCAATTACACGCTTTCTCCATATATAATTGGTAGTGCTTGATTTACACTGACGTTAGAGGGATC